TATATATATATAATCTATATTTTAACATAACATGATTTCCTAATTATTCTGCACCTAAATAAAAGTTTTAAAATAAGGGATGCATCAGATATCTGAGAAATATCGGTTATTCAGTATTAATCGTATTTTTTTACTATCCGATTGTGGAAAGCCGAATATCATTAGTATCCGGTAATAAATCCAGAAATTTTATATTGAAAGTTTGCGTTATTAATGCAGAATTTTATTCTTTTCAACTGAACTTGCACAGTTCATTCCTTTCCTTTTTTTCTTTCCACGTTAGGAAAATAAAAAGAATTGTTATCGCTATTTTTCTCTTGCTTTCCTTTTTTTTTGTAAGCTTTGTTTCAGATATCTGACCGGATATCCAGGGAAATATCTAATATCCAATCGGATAATTGCTCTACTGGATATCTGACCAGATATTCGACATTTCGTATCTGAGAATTTTATTCAGTGCATCCCTAATTAAAATAGAATTATCAAAATCAATAGTTTATGAAATATTTTATATTTCATACAAAAAAATGTGTTAGAATAAAGTGTAAAATATTTCATATATCATTCATTTTTTAATAATTTTGCTGTAATATTTTTATATACAGAATAATTAGAAGAACATTATATTAAAAATCATATAATTTCATTTAAAAAAATGGCTTAATAGGAAACTTCAAAAAATTGATTTAAAAAAATTAATTTTTAAAAGTCATATTAAGTTATCGCTATTTTTTTTTAATTGAATTATATGAGTTTTAACTTTAAGAACATAATATGTTCTTCTCATGATTCTGCATATAAAAGTATTAAAGTGAAATTATCAAAAAATGAATAGTTTCGCTAGAGAAAATAGAATAAGTGTATCATTATTTTTCCATATAACTTTTTTAAAACATATAAGTTTTATCTGTAGCATTTTCCATATTTTTTATATTTTTCGAAATATTTGTCTAGAGTATTTAAATAGGGCATTTAAAACGGGCTACATATGATAAACCAAAAAATTATATTCTCTATATTTATTACTTTTCAGCACATAAATATGTAATTAGTTTTATTTTAAAGAGTACATAGCTTAAAAATTTATTTCAATAATTAATAATAAATCTCAATTTTTATAACTTTTCCAGGATTTGATAAATAAATAATTGATATTTTCTATTTTTAAAGGATCCCACGAAGATCTGAAATAACCGAAGAATTTCTGAAATTAATTCATTTAAATAAATATATATAATAGTTCACCATATCTTAACATTTAGACCGTAACGCTTCATATTTAAAGTCGTATATCTAACATAAACGATCTTATTTCCAATCTTATTATTATTTATCCCACGAAGATTTTGTAATGATTAATTTAGATTCCGCGTCTAGATAAAAAATGACTTCTTTTCACATTCTCATTTGCTGTATGATGTAATATAAAGAAAAAAATTAAATGGTTTGATATTTTTAACAAAAAGATTTGTAACTGAACTTCGAAAGATTAAAGCCTGAAATATTGTCGTCGAAATTTTTTTCGGATTAATTTTCGAATGGTATCACGTACACGCGAATGCGATCGAATTACGTATGCGCAAAAAAGAAAAATCTCTGATTGACACCCGACTGTCGCGCGACAATTTGTCACCGATGCAAAATCAAGGCTTAGGTGAAGCGCAATCGCGACGGTCGTGCTGATTCTACGATCGCAAACATAAACGTCCAGATGTGCGTGCGTGCGTTATTGAGGGCCGATGGCGTGGCTGTGAATGGCGGAAGCAGGGTGGTAAAGGGTGATCCGCAGAGGGGCAAGGGGATAGGGTGCGAGAGAAATTTGATTTATCGGCGATTACGATCGGTGATTGGACTCTGACGGGTTCCTGGTGCGTCATGCGGTGATGCATGAGCAACGGCCGATAACGCGTAATGTCACCGTGCGCCCGGGTGACCTATGCGCCTACCCGCGAAATTACTTTGCATTAGGGCCGCGAGTGATGAATACCGGGTTAAACAGCGGCTCGAGCGGCCCGCTAATCCACTAAACCGTCCGAAAAATTGACATCGCGACTATGTGTTTAGTACACACAATATTCCTTTTATAACATGGAACATCACTTTAATCACTTCATATGACCAAACAATAGCGAAATGCAAATTAACCAGACAGCAAAATATAACAGTAATTTACTAAAAAAAAAGAAAGAAAGTAAAGTGAAAAAGGAAATCTGCAAAGAAATATAATTTATTTTTTTTTTTTTTGTAAAAATATATGTTTTTGTTTTTTCAATAATATAAACGTCAAAGAGATTTCTATACACAAAGAGTTAATTTTCTACGGCACAATTAGATTGTATAACTATTTAACAAATATCAATTAAATATTCAACTTTCTGATTATTTTTCACTAAAAATAACGTTTCACAATGTGAATCATAATTGGAAGTATTTCGATGTTAATGAGATCATTAATATACCATCGTAATTTTCGAAATTTACGCAAGAAAAAGTATATGCACGTTAAACCGTGAAGAGTTATACTTGCCCCGCAAGTTCACAGGCAGAAATAAGAAGAAAGAAAAAAACGTGGAAAAAAGTTACAAAAGCCTTGGCGAGCGAAGATGTGAACTAGGTTACTCTATATACTCGTATATATAAAAGTGCGATGTCGCGTGGGTAAATGAGGAATGAACTCGTATACGAATTGCAGGTCGCGCGAGTGCATTAGCAAAGAGAGCCGGCAAAGTTTGTTGAGGAAACGATCGCGGATTAATGCCTCGCCGACGCTGTAACTGCGAATTTATTTGACTTCGAATTGCGTGATTCCGATCGTTGGGATTTCCACGTACGCAAAATTTATCAATGCCAGGCGGAGAGTTCGCGCGAAAGGACGGGAATAGAATTTGAAAAATACGCTTCGCAAGAAATAATAATAACATAATTGAAAATTTTGCGATAATCAAACGCGCGAGTATGCGCGACTTAATTTTACAGTGACAAATTTGTTGTGTTTTCTCTCTCTCTCTCTCTCTCTCTCTCTCTCTCTCTCTCCCTCTCCCTCTCTCCATGGAATCCCCACGTAATAATAAAATTTAATCGCGAAAACTTGTTGACGCATAATCGAACGTTAAAACGTCCATCGAGCTTTGCATAATTCATGTAATAAGAAGATTAATCGATTAATTGATTTTTTTTTTCTTCAAAAAAAAAATACGAGCGACATCGACAACGCTGCGAGATTATTGACTATCGCAGCTTCCAGCGAAATAATCCCGCAATATTTTTCGCATTCTATATTCTCGTCTTGTACGTTCTATCTTTAATCTTCCCGATGGGTAAGTTCGTTAAAACCGTGCTTGGTTGGATTACTGAAGAAACGAGTAATATTGATGTATACAATATCGTTGCAACGACGGTACGTTAACTAAAGCGAATCCCTGAATAATTTTCAGGAAATCAAAAAAATAGCAATCTTTCCTTTCGCTACAAAAACAAAAAGCAGACACAAACAAAAATTGACAAACTTGAGGAAAGATTTAAAATACGCGATATACAAATATTTCGGAGAGACTCGTTCGCAATTGATAAATGCAGTATTGAACGATACGAAATATAAATGTCTCTATGCGAAAGAATGGTTTCGCTGCGTTTAGAAACTTCATTCGAGTGCACTCAAGTATCATTTTATCTTTGTTTAATATTGGTAAACAGTAAGAACAAAATGATACATCCTGAATTCTCGAACATATCCCTGAAGTATCTAAGAATTCTAGATAGGTACCAATCTAAAAATCAATTTTGGTCCATCAAAATAATTGTGTAGAAGGCTAGTTGCTAGAGTGTCGAAAGCTTTTACAACTCATCATGTTTTAAAATATAATTCTATACATAATAGTTGAGAATGTAATCTTTAATATTTCTAAGATAATTATAGTTTTAATGGCCCAACAAAATTATTTTAATATCTGTATTTAGCATTTTTTTTTAGATGTTTTTAGCACAAAATTATTTTTTCTGTGTATAAAACGAGAATAATCTTCGAAATCAGAGTCACATCGCGATATTTAATGGACTCGCGCGCGATCTTAATCTATACTCGCGAAATACAACATTCTCAAACACGAGCAGTGTTATTACAACGACCGGGTTCTTGATAAGGAAACTTGGGACTTACCGCACGATCGCCAAGATTGCGCACCCTGCAGTGCAGGTAAGCGGATTGCCCGACGGTGGTTGTGGTCTCCCTCTTTGTCGTGTTGTCGAAGTAAGGCTGACTAAAGGGTTGTTCCCAGTAAGAGGACGGATGGTGCTCCACTACAGATCTTCCGTTCTTGGCCGCGCATTCTGTCGCAAACAATAAGACTCGTTAATGGGATTTATTTATTGACACATTCTAATAAAAATTTAGACGCGAAATATATTGGAATTTAAATAAATCTTTGAAACTTTAAAAGCTCTGAATAATTAAATTTCTTAAAGCCCGAGAATAGCGGAATTCTCCCCAATAGCGAAATTGATTAAATTAATCGGTATAGCGATAACATCAAATTAATAACGAATTTGGTTGGATGCACTCAGTGCACGCTGGTAGCTGTCACACATTAAAGCTGTCAAACTCAAATTGACATAAAAATATGTGTTTAATATAAATATAAAAATAGATTAAACTTTAGAATCTTCTATATTTTACTGTGCTATCTATATTTTATTGTGCTGTTAGGTAAAATTTATATTTTATAATTTGAACTATTTGCATTTTATTTTTACACAGATTAAATTACTGTACAACGATTTCAATATGCACTAGTGCATCATACATGCACAATAGTGCATCCAAATTTGCTAAAGTAATAAGTAAAAAGAGAATTCATATTATACCCAATCGTTCGGTCAGCGCAAATTAGAAATCATCAAAATACGTAATTGGAAACGGATAGCTTAATGACATATCGATAATTGCTGGGAACTCACGCAAATCGGATTGCGGCGCGACAATGCGATAAATTATGCGTTAACTGGCGAAACAGAATGTACAAAACGGATTTCAAGCTGATCGAAACACGTAATGTGATTAACTCTACGTATAAAATCTCGGTCACGTCGTACCCTTTCATAAGGAAATCGATTCTTTCCGCTCAATGATCCCATTACCGGGCAGCTTCTGCCGAGCTTATTCGGTTGAGTTTGAAGCGAACTGAACTCGTCGCGACGAATACAGAAATTCAAATCTGAAACCGTTCGAGACGTCGTTCGCTGTGGACGAATGCATGAAATCTGGTAGAGCTTCCTTCGGGAGTCCTACCTCGAAAATTCCTAGCATATTACGCAAAAGCGAGTTCCCTATGAGGTCTCAAATGGAACGAAAATCTGATCTATACCTAGAAATTGCGTAATTTACAGGCAGAGCGATCGAAATTCGTTCGTTAAGTGAAGTTACGCACGTAAAACTGTACTTAATGTCCGAATATTTTCTAATATGAATTTTATTATTTTTTAGAGCATAAGAGACCTTAATGCATAATAAAAAAAACATTTTGTACTTCCATTAAAACGGTCCTTATTAAAATTTTTATGTTACATTTTTAATACGTATCCAAATGTTAATTTAACATAATATTTTTACAAAGGTTAAATAATAAAGAGCATACAGCCACGACCAAGGATGTAAATAAGTTATATATTAACATATTTAAAACAAATTCAATACAATAATAAGTAGACGTTTCGGTCAAGATTTGACCCTCTTCAGTACAATAAAAATGAATACGTTAAACATTATAACTAAATACGCAAGTCAACTGATAAATGTAGTGATAGCAAGTAACAAAAAATTATTATTTCCTTACAATACAGTAGTAATCGCAACAGATCAAAGTAAATTAAAGTAACAGTTAATTGTTATCGCGCTATACGAATAGAAAGAGAATATGAAAGTTTTTTTTCGTCATGATACAATTAAGAAATCTTCATTTAAAAACGACGAGCCCCACACGAAGAGTACCACGCAAGTACCAAGTTCTATTGTAAAAAAATTTTTTCAACAGGTAAATTAGGTATCATCGTATTACTGTAAAAACAATCAGATTAAAAAATATACTCCTGCTTAGATTCCACCCAGAGAATTTTTTAGAAAATTTTTTTAAAAACCAACAGAACAAACTTACGCGTATCCTGGGATGCGAAAACTCATGTGTACAACTGAACACTGTGACAAATTTAGGTAATGAGTGAATTTAAACTGCAAATAACGACAAAAGCCAAAAATGTTCATCTATTTATATTAAGAAAAGGAAAAAGAAGGGCAAGAAAAAGTGAAAGAAAGGGGAAAAAGTTTAGAGTGGGGCCAGAAACTATGCTATTGTTCAAGGAGAGGGAGATAAAGATCTGGAAACCGTTCCGTATCGCTTTGTTTATTTAAACCATTTTTTTGCATCTTAATATAAATCATCTCAGATACTAATCTTTTGTAATGAGAGCGTTCCGAATCCAATATTTTTGCGTTATCCCAATCCATCACATGGTCTGTGTCAAATCTGTGATTTGAGATAACGGAGTGAGAATTAGCTGGTTTTTTTAAGTCATTAATGTGTTCTTTTAAACGCGTCTTTAATTTCCTTTTCGTCTGACCGACGTGCGAATAATCGCAGTCCTTACAATTAATTTGGTATACCACATTCGAAAGTTCATCTTTTTTTATCTTATCTTTCCCCGTTTTTATAAAACTGTTCAAGTTGTTCATAGGTTTGTATACCAATTCAAATTAAAATTTATTTAGAGTTGCATTGAATTTCTCAGACGTTCTCTTTAAGTAAGGAATTAAAAAATTTTTTCTTTACAATAGAAATGTCCGTATTAGTGTTAACATTATGTTCATTAATGGTATCAAAATTCTTTTTTCTTGATAACGTTTTAAATAAAAATAATAATAAAATAATATTTTTATGTTATTTTATGTTAAATTAATATTTGACATTTTTTATTGTTAAAGTAACACAATTTATGATTAAGTAAACATATGTAAATAATAATATAGTTTTTAAAACATATCTGTTAAATAATTAAATAAATGGATAAAAAATAAATATTAATTTAACACATTATAAATGTTAATTTTATTGTCAAAATATGTTTTCACAATTTGTTTCCAAGTTATATCAAAGCATTATATTTTTTGTATTAATTGTTACATAATATTTATGTATTTACTTTCAAAAATTTGAACGGGCCATTTAGAATACGTGATAAATACGTATTAAATTCAATACAAATTTTCCAACTGTGTGGCATAGAAATCTCACGCATCTATCTTTTTTGCAAGAATTTTTTAAATAAGTCACATTTAAAATTGCACAGAAAGAAATAATTTGTATTTATGTTAAATAAATCCTTGTTAAAATTTTTGTGTTGAATTTCTATTATATCCGAGTTTTAATTTAATATAATATGATTGTGTTATTTGAATATTTTCTGTTAAATTAAAATTTAACATTTCTCAGTGTTAAAATAACATAATTTATAGGTAAGTAAACAAATAACATAAAAATAATGTAGTTTTAAAATATAAATTCTAAGACTAAATGAATAAAATATGTGTGTTGATTTAACATATTATAAGTGTTATTTTTACTAAAGAAATATGTTCTGTACAGTTAGTTACATATATTTTTTTGTAAAAAGGTACATATATTTTCTGTTATTTTCTCTTTGTAACAGTAAATATCAGTTAAATTTATATATTGCATATATTAAATATCACCAAGGCATCGCCAAAACTAAAATTATAAAAATAGCTTCTAATTTCACAGTTAAATTTAACATCACGAATGTATCAATTTAACATAAAATTTGTTTATAAATTGTGTCAAAATATTACGCTTCTTGTGTTAATTTCTTATATAATATTTGTATTACTTTCAAATATATTCATCTTATTAAATTACCAAAAATTTGGGTGGACCGTTTGGGATATATGAAATGTGTTAAATTTATCACGGAATATTTTACTGTGTGGGTATGAATAACTTTATCGACAATGGAAATACTATAGCGATAAAGGATAATGATAAAAATAAAAACATAAAAATGGAAAAGAATATAATAATAAATAATAATAAAATAAAACTTATTGTGGTGTACCAAGATCGTTGTCTCATTAAAGATACTTAATAGACGTTGAGAAGGACTTTTTCAGCTTCCTTTTAGATGTAGCTGTTTTTCAAAGTAACGATCTGCCGGTGTGGCGTAAAATTCATGCAACAGTCCCTCATCAATTTTTTCAGCCCGCGTCCTTATCCCTCTCCAACCGCTCGCCTCACTGATTACTTTATTCTAAGAAAACGATACTCTGGTGGCTACATAAAACCTTCCAAGAAAGCCTTTACGTGCGTTATAAGAGGAGCAGAATGAAAAAATTTACGGAAGGATACTGCCAAAGAATCTTTATTCCCATGTTGATCCTCCATAAACAATATCTTACCAGCGCGTAATAACGAAAACTTCAATTGACAATCAAGTTTTGTTGCGTTTAAATATATTATTATATAAGTTCAAGTATACTGCTACGTAATATACTTAAATAAAAAAAATAAATAAATTTTATATATTACTTCCTTATTTCAAAAGTGATACAATTAAAAAAATTTAGTTTCTCTAAAAAAAAGTTCCAACTAAAAAAAAGAAGAAGACTATTTTTCAACTTGATAGAAAATTATTTATTAAATAACATCAGCAAAAAGAGTATATTCTTAGTATGATCAAAATTTATTTTTCCCATTTTCATTTCACTTTCTAAAAAAATCACCTTTTTTGATATGACAGTTTCGACGATTTTTTTTTAAACCATCCTTTTTGAATTCTAACAATTTTGGTGATTATTTATAAAAATAAGTTTACTTTTGAAAATTGATAATGTTTATTTAATTCGTGGTAATAACTCGAAAATCGCATTTCTTAAGCTGTATTTTGAAACACACAATTGGAAAGTATCAATATAAGATGAATATGTTAGGATGTAACACAAATATTATGAAAATTAACAAAGATGTAATATCAACACAATTTGTAAGCATATTTTTTAAATAAAATTAATATTTATGGTATATTAAATTAACAAATATTTTGTCTATTCATTCTATAATTTATATTTTGAAATACATTATCTTATATTATTTGTTTAGATATTTATAAATGTATAAATTGTGTTGTTTTGATATTATGATAACAATAAGAAATTTGTATATTAATTTAATACAAAATGCTCAAATAACAATCATATTTACATTTGGATATGTTATAAATTTAAGCCACAATTTTAATAATGATACGAGTGTATTTTAATTCAAATA